GATTAAACCTTATTAAATAAAAAAAAACAAAAAAAAACAGGATATTTATATTTGTCTTTTTACAAGTATTTCTCTTGCACACCTGTTTCCAAACCGAAATAAAATGTAATAGATTTTTTTTTTTGTTGGTTACTATTCATAAGCTCTTTTCTTGCTTGTGTATTAAGTGTTGCATTATTTTTTTCCTGATGTTTATCAGTCGTTCTTATGAACGTTTCTGTGCTAAATGAACAATCAATAGAAAACATCCAGCTTCCTTTTTCCGGCAGCAGTATTCGGACAGCCCTCATCAGGGCGGGTGTAGACGCTCTTTTGCTCCAGCTTAACAGTCCTTATGGATTCATTTGCAAATGAATTTTGCATAATATAGGCGATTTAAGTACTTTAAACTGATTTTACAATTTAAAATGATAAATTAGACTTTTAAACAGCTTAAAAATGACATACAGGGGACGCTTTAATCAGCCATTAGTTGAAGTCTGTCAGAGTACCAACCCAGAGTTTTCTGCTCCAGGTAAGATGCTGACTACAGATAACTTTACAGCGTTCAACTTAGAATTAACATAAAACCGATTAATTCTCTTTTTTAATGTTTTTTTTTCTGCCTCCAGCTTACTTAAGTTTCATGGTTCATGTCTACTGTTGTAAATCAAAATCTGACCTTGCTTGCCATTTCATAGTGTAAAAATCAGCCGGTGTATGCAATCTGTCAGATCAAATTATACCTTCATGACAACTTCTTTGCAAGCATAAGGCCAAAAATTATTATACTGTAATATTCAAATAGGCTATGACCTTGTCTAACTGGTCATTTCTTAGCATAGATGGTTTAATTTCTTTAAGGTGATACTAATCTATTCTTTAGAAGATGGTGTGATCATTGCGCCATCAATGAACTCTCTGAAACTTTCTCCTTCTCCATTTGGGTGAAAATGGTTATAAAAGCGTTTGATATTCCTTTAGTGTAGGAGATTCTGCAATGGTCCAATAATTCAATAACGTGTTTTAATAATGCAGAAGTTGCCATGTGGTAATGCACCCTAATCGGATCTGGGGGGAACTGTACGTTCCCTGACTCCTTACAGACAAAGAGCTCCCATCCTTGGGTCTCCCTGAGGGGCTTTAATTAGTCTTCCTTCCTCTGCTCTGTGGTAGGCTGCTAAAATCCACTTCTATGCAGAGCCAAAGATGTTTGCAAGTTGCCAAATACTGTATGCAAGAGTGCTAAGGTATTTATCCTCTTGTCAAATGTAACATTAATTAGGACTGCACCCTTATAAATATTAATTTGTCAATAATATGAGGCCAGAATTGATTGACTGACTGCCTGTTAGGCTCACATATGAGAGATAGCAGAATGTAAACATGATGTTTTAATCCATCTCAGACTTAATTTGCTGCCCCCTGAGACATCGTTTAATCAAGTGGCAGTGAGTCAGTTTTTTTACATCTTTGTTTTGGTTGATGCAGCTCAGACTTAATAGGAAAGAAGAGTAAGAAAAGTTTAAAAGGGTGTTTAGCAAAGTAACAACCAATCTTCTGTATTCAATAAACCTGCAGTGCTGGTTGTCCATATTGTCAAGGATCCTGGAATCAGCATTTGCTCCTATTAATTTATTCTCTATCCGATGCAGATCTTTTCAGGGTCGCCAAGGAAGAGGGAGCTTATTTCGTCAATCAGAGGCAGGAGGAATACAGAGCAGTTTAGTAGTTCTTCACAGGATGATCAAAAAAAGAAAAATGCAGCTTTTCAAATGTTCTCAGTTCTAGTAAAGAATTGTTACATTTTGACAAGTTTCCTGACAGTGTTTACAAATCTCATGAGAACAATCTTATGTAAAAAGAATATTTCTCCTCTTCTCTCTTTAAATTAGGAAACAAGAGAACAAAGCATTGCACGTGTTTGTCCTTATAACTCAGGAAATAGCTACAGATACCCACAGAATAGCTATATATAACTGTATTATGTACTGTATAGCTATGTTATATCCAACACTTTTCCATCAGTCTAACCGAAAACCAACAGGGAAGAGAAGAATGCGTTTTACACACATCGATAGACTTTTACCTTTGTCTGATGCATGAGGTATAGCTGGACCAGAAAGGAAAATGGGTGGAAAAAAACTTGTAACCAAACCAAACATAATTGTTTTGCAATAATTTTAGGAATTTAAGACCAAGATAGATTTTTACATCATGTTTTTCAAATGCAAGTACATTTTCTGGTTGTTGGAATCATTGATTTTGACACAATTATTTAGGAATCTGTAAGATGTCTGCTTTCAGCATATAGGTTTCTTTGTTTGAATCTAATTATGAACCTTCATACTAAACCATCTGCTAAAAAACTGAAAGTTAGATTTGCTGTGACAGCATTTTTCATTTTACTCCTTGTAGTTTAACCGTTTGGTGTTTTAAGAAAGTTGTTCATATCAGCTTTTAGCCGAATCTGATGTTTCCGTGGACACCTCAAACATGTATGTTTCAAGAAGGAAACTCAGAGTAATGAGCAAAACAGAGATCTGTCCAGTAAAAAAAAACAAAAAAAAAAACAGATTTTTAAATGCAATGTAACCCCTTAAAAGAAACTGAAATAGAACTTCAATTCTATGTCTAGACGTATCTGTGGCATGTAAGACAAAAACTACAGATTCCTAAGGGTACGATTTGTAAATTCCTTTTTATTTCCCTTTTTTTGCAGACATGTTGCTCATTCTACTACTGATGATGTAAAACAATGATATTGCAAATCTCCACAACTCATTGTTTATGTCTTCATAGCTGTTTCTAGTAGTAGAAGCGTATATTTTTCTTTCTCTTCTTTTCCTCCATCTCCCTGTTTCTCATTCATACAGCGGCTCTGGCTGGCATGCACATCCACTCGACAGCTGTCCTCTTTGATCAGATGCTTGGCAGGCAGCGACAGACCTGGTGCTGACGGTGTGGATGTCTGTGCGCCCCTGGCACAAGGCAGGGATCCGTAACAGATGTTAAGGCGGGATAGGGCACTGCAAAACCTTTGAGAGAAACAGGCCTGACCCCGGGGAGGAAACAAGGCAGCATATATGGCCCCAGAAACAGATCATTAATATTAATGTTATGCCAGCAGTTGAATATTTCTTTTGCTGACACTGAGGTTTCTGTATGTAAATGCTGCAGCTTTCGCAAACTTAACTTGGACTAATCTCCTAATGAATCTTCCAGCTTTAACAGTTCCTGCGCTATGCCCATCTGCTGAAGTTTATCATCCCCTGTGTACTTCAGAGCTCCAGAATATGCTGAGTGCACATGGCTTGCTCGCACTGGCTGCACATTAGGTCTGCCTTTGACAATTAACATTAAGTAGTGCATTAGATGCATTTTTGGAATATTCAGAGTTACCGTGAATATCCTGAATGTCCTCAATCATAATTTGTTTTCTTTGTGTAGGAAACATCTACATTTTTAATTTAGTAATGAACAGCACTATGAAAAAAGTGTCTGTCCCCCATGGGCTTCTTTTGTTCTTTATTTATTGTCATACTGGGTATCAAATAAATAAAACAGGAATAACCGAAAAAAAATATATATATAATAAATTAACCAACTTAGGCCTGTGTAATACCAAACTAAGATAATAAACAACTAACTTAAATAAAATAGAACCCATCTGACAACATGAAGCAGGATGGTAGATTTGAAAGATTAACACACAAAGCCCCTGTTTAAGGAAATTCATGAACAGATGACAGGCAAAGTAGTTATACATGGTATTAAGATGGCTAGTTTCTAAATAAAAAACAGTGGTTGTATGAAGGATGACAAATGCCACAATTCAGATTAATAAAAGTCTTATCAAAAATGTATTTGAATGTCTAGTTATTTTTTTTTAAACTAGAGATTAAGTGGGTATCAGTTAACTATACTAATTTTATTTTATGAAGTACATATAATTAATTCAAGACTTAATAAATCAGGAAATTATTATATTATTGTTTTTTTTTTTTTTTGCTAAAATAGTTGCAAATCTGTCAAAAAAAATGTTGATGGCAATGCGGACCAGGATCTGACACCAGTCTCTGTATGACCGGTGTCAGAGCCTGGTCAGCATTGCCGGCAGTAAGTCGGTGTTGTTTCCGGTGAGGGTTGGACTCCGCCAAGGTTGCCCTTTGTCACAGATTCTGTTCATAACTTTTATGGACAGAATTTCTAGGTGCAGCCAAGGTGTTGAGGGGATCTGTCTTGGTGGCCTTAGGATTGCATCTCTGTTATTCGCAGATAATGTGGTTCTGTTGGCTTCATCAGGGAGTGATCTACAGCTCTCACTGGAGCGGTTCCCA